CATGAGAATGAGGGATGTGTCTGCTCTTCTTGTTTACATCTTCATCTATGACATCTATCACAATGCCTACACAATAGCTGAGACTCGGGGAATATTTTTCAAAGGAAAAGTAAAAAAGAAAAATGGAAAAAGAAATAGATTTATTTTTGTTAAAGTGGAATGCGGTGTATATCTACTCAAGAGCAATCTGCTTCTGAATTAGTCACATCTGTAATACATAAAAAGCATGGAATCACAGCCTGGCTTTATCCTGGATGCTAAATGACGTTTGGCCTTCTTGTTTTATTAATATCTTGTTACAGACCAAAAGTAGATGAATTTTCTGGAAAACAAACATAGTATGTTACAGCATGAAATAAAAATTAATTCTGTATTATCCACTGGGAATGAATAATAAAGTGTTAACTGTGTATAAAACTATTATGAATAAGAGACTGTAGAATTCCCAGAATGTAAAGTATTCCTTACTTAAAAGTCTGAAAATCTATGTGAAGCATTTAGCAAAAATTAAACTTTTCACTAAAAAAAGACCACAGAAAGCCAGCAAAGATTAAATAGTAGAGCAACAAAGAAAAAAAAAAAAAGAAAAGGAAATGATAGACACACTTTGAAGATCCTCCTTCTAAACACCTTAACAATTAAAGTTTTCCTCCCTATCTGTTATAACATATAAGTGAATTTACTGAGATCATTGTCTACATGTTTCCTAAACCAGATAGTTCAATTGTAGGAGCAATTAATTTCTCAGATGCTAGTTCATAAAGCCTTTCAAATACCAGACTGTGTCAGAACATAAAATGATGCTACAACCTCAGATTTTATTTTTCCTGAGGCATTAGGCTATGGTAGAAGCACTGGGTGCTTGCATGTTTTCTTCTTATTTAATCCAATTCTCCCTTGCTGGTACAATAATTTAATCTCAGAGACACATGTATGGATACATGAACAGACAAGACTTCTCCCTCCCATCTCCTCTTCCCTTATCTATCTAGTTCTCCAGGGTTATCATCTTCATTTGTGATTTGCAATGAGAAGATGAAGTGAATTGCTTTACAATGAAGCAAACAAGAAATTTTTATCTCCCAAATCTGTTTTTCTCCGTACTAATGTTTTTCACGATACCATTTCCTTTTAGTGCCTACTTGTTTTGTTCTTTCTGCTTGCCATTGAGCCAACTTGCACTCCGTCATATAAAATGCACACTGTGGAAGTTATCAACTACCAATTAAGCAAGTTCCAAGTACTAGGAAGGAAAACAAAACAAAGCTCTCAGCAGGCAAAGCTTATACTGATAGCTGGAAAGCACCAAATTAAAACTAATTCACATAACTTCAGAGCATGACTCAGAGCCCCAGATCATGAGTCATGGGCTTTCACTGAGATAGTGCCGGCAAAACACATGCAACAGCTTAGTGTATGCAAAAACAGGCTGAGAAATGCATGCATCGTCAGGGATAGGTCCGTGTGTTACAAAAATGCATATTATGACTAGGATTGTCATGTCAATAAAGGTTAGTAGCACCTGTGAAGAAATCAGTATTCCAAGCACTCTAAAATAGAGTGCCTTATAAAACAGAGGCTTTGTTTATATTGGGCCTGTCACCATGACTATGAACTTCCAGTATGAGGAGGAGTTTGGGTAGTACTTTATGGAACAAATAAGCCACAGCTTCTTGAAGACATGCGATGAGGAGAAAAGGAAAAGCAAGACACTCATGCCAAGCCATCTGTGCTCATGGGCTCACTTTGACGATCTTCCCTGCCATCTGACTGGCCCACGTCAATGATTACCAGACTCACTCCCTATCCTCACTTGGTGTATCCTGCCAGCCCTTTGGCATGAAATTCTATTTTCCAATTTCTCCCTTTATCATGCTTTGGACCGTATTGCTTTTTGCCACCCTTGAATCCATTTTTGCCAACACCACTAGGGATCTTACTAGAAATCTAACTTACTCTGGAGTTTTATCTCCAGTTTGGTTTGTTGCTTGCCTGTTACTTCCTCCAGCCTCAACCATATATATGCACACAAAGATTCTTCACTCTGTTTTCTGACTAGATGAGCTATGTTAATCTCTCATACAGGAGCAGGGGTAGTTTTGTTTTTATAAATCTCACAGAGTTTGCTAAGTAGAGGAAATGGACCAAAGGATAGGATTCCTAGGTAAATGGGAAATAAAGTATGAGTTCAGAGATCTGGAAACAGTTAAATATGGTAATTGGACATATAGGTAAACAAGATAATTTTTTTTTTTTAAGAGGAGGGAGTCAGATGAGTGAGGATAAGTGGTTACAAAAGTGAGATATTAAGAAGGCCACATGGGGAACAAACAAACAAATGAAAACAGAAACAGATTTATAAATACAGAGAAAAGACTCGTGGTTCCTAGAAGAAGGGGTGGGGGATGGGCAAAATAGGTGAAGGGGATTAAGATGTATAAACAAGCAAAAAATAAGAAGGCCACACAGAGAATGACACTAAGAGGTGAGAAAGGAATTTATGCTGCAGAAGGTTGTAGGAATGCTGGTCTGAATTCTTGGTGTAAAAACACAAAAGATAAGAGACAATTAGGCACTTCTAATCTGTATTTCTTCCTCATCTGTCAACAGGGCAGATTGCAGGCAATATCACGCAGTGGTGAAGAGAGCAGAGTCTGAATTCCAGCAAACGTGGTTTCAGGTCCCAGCTCTACTGGTTACTATTATATGAACTTGGACAAGTACAAACACTCTTTGGACCTCGGTAAAACAGACTTAATAACTGTATCTATTTCTTTGAAATAGCTGTCTATGCACTGTCTGTTTCTAGCTCCTAAACTCCCTCTCATCAAGAGTTTGCCCCCACCATGCCATCCACTCTTGCTTTGCTCACCAACAACATTCATGCTGCTAAATGCATGTATGGCCAGTTCTCGGGACTCCTCTTACTTAACATGTCAGCTGCATTGGGCAGAGTTAAAGCATCTTTCCTTGTAGATATATATTTTTTTCCCTTGGTTTTGAGGACATCACACTTTCCTGTTTTTTCCTCCCCTTCCCCTGGTTACTACTTCTTACTTTCCTCTAACTGGTTTTCCCTTCCCTGCCCACCGCCCCCTCCCCCCCAAAAAAACCTCTCAGTGTTGAAGTGCCACAGAGTTTAGTTCTTTTTCTTCTTCTCTATATACATTCCCTCCCTTAGCCATCTCAATTAGTCTTGCCAATTCAAAATCTGTGTATATGCCATTAACTCCCAAATATATATCTTTAGCCCAGACCCCTGTCCTGTATGTCAAATTGCCTACTGAAAACTTATATTTGAATGGCTAAGGAAGATCTCAAACTTAACATGTCCAAAATGGAACTCTGGTCTCCCCCAGTTCTTCTCCCTGCAGTCTCCCACCCTGTCATTTGATGATGATTCCAGGCCCACGGTTTTGGAGTCAACTTTTTCGATGCTCTTTCTCTCATATCCCACATTTAATCCACCAGCTAATGCTGTCGGGTCTACCTTCAAAATACACCTGATCACTTCTTACCATTACCTGTGGCCCTACCCCAGTCCCAAACCCATCGTTTTCACCTAGATTATTGCAATAGCTTCCCAGCTAGTCTCCCTGCTACTACCCTTGCCTTGCTACGGTTTCTTCTTAATACAGAGTCAGAGTAATCTGTAAGTCACATCATGTCAATCCTCTGCTTAAAGCCTTCCAATGGCTTCCCATTGCATGCAGAGTAAATCCAGTTCCTACAAGGACAACTCCTCCACCCCTCACCCCAGTATTTCTCTGACTTCATTTCTTTCTCTATTCTCTGCCTTGATCTCTCATTTCCATCACATTAGCCTCCCAGTGCTACTTGACCATGCCAAGCATGTCCCCATCTCATTGACTTTGCCCTGGTTGCTTCCAAGAGCACTCTTTCTCTCCAGATATTCTCATGACTGGTCTCCTTTACACTTGAACTTTTGAGGTGTGTCATATTACAAACTCAGTGTGCCTTGCCCTGATCATCTTATTTAAAATTGCAACCTCCCCCACCTCTGGCATCCTTGTTCTCCCACAGCACTTATTACTCTCAAAAAAAACTATTTAATGGATTTATTACAATTATTGTAGTTTTGTGTATTTATTTATGTATGTATTTATTACAATTACTGTTTGTGTATTTATGTATTTATTACAATTTGTGTATTTATTACAATTATTGTTTATTATTCAACTTTTCCCAGTAGAATGTAAGCTCAATAGGAAAAGGATTTTTATGTTTCATTCACTGCTATATCCCAAACACCTAGAAAAGTGCTCAGCACGCAGTGGGCATTTAATATTTGTTAATTTGAATAAATAGATGCCATATTGGTTTTTGAAGGTTAAACAATATGCTCTGAAACTTACATTAATATAGGGTGTGGCACATAGGGCTATAAAGATGATGGCTAATTGCAAATACGTACGGTAAGAAAAAGTTCATGTTTCCAGCCTTCTCTTTCTCAATACCTTTCACTCAATGTGCTGCTTAATTTGCATTTCTTAAGACCCAGACAACCATATACTCCATGGATAGAGTTCAACAAATTTAATCTTCAAAACATTTGCATAAAGTAGATGATCTATAACTTTGTTGGTTATTTGATAGTATGTTATTTCCATTTTGAGAGATGAAAGTAATCTTTAGGCAAATGAACATATCTCAGACCAGATTTTGAGGTTTCAGTGAGCTGAATGAAAATGGTATTCTAGGGATAGAGAAGTTTTTATGATATATCTAAAATCAGAATCTGTGTGTGTGTGTCGTGGGGGGGGGTGAGATGATTGTTTCACTAATGGCTAAGAATTACCTTATATATAAAAAGATCTTTGAAGAAAATTAGTGCAAAGGAAGTCCATGGTTCTAAGTACTTCATTTGTTGAGAAATAGCCTGGTAACTTCAGTCCACTTTGAATAAGCAGGTGAATGGTTTGACATCTTTCTTGATAAAATAGAACACATTCAGTTCCATTTTTTCAAAAGTACGAAGGTCCATTGGGGAGTCACTGATTCATAACCTGAAGAACTTCTTCTCTGTGAACAATTAACTTCATTGTCTATTGGATTTAATCCATTTCACTGAATTTTAAGCTAAAAAATAAAGATTCTACATGTGGCTGAAGATGATGGATAAGAAAGGTAAGCATTGTGCATGCCCACTGAATCACTGTATTATTGATTTATTATTGAACATTACTTGAGTTCTATTATATTATAAGCAGTGTGTTAGAGAAGTAAGATATAATCCTGGCCTCAAGTAGCTATAGAGAAAATTAAGATAAAATATAAAAGACACCACAAATTAAATGTGTACAGATGCTACGTAAGCAAAGACGAGGCATGACTGCTTCTGATGAAGGGGTCAGAGAAGGAATTATCTGAGCCTAGCTAGAGAAGTATAAGTAGAATTTTATCAGAGACAAAGGAGGGGACATTATAAGCTCAGGAAAGTAAAAAATTAAATCCATGGAAAGCATAAGGAAGAAGTTAGTGTAAAAAACAAGTAGGAAGAGAGGGGTGGATTTGCGATTGGAAATCAGAAAATGGTAGAACTGATAAATCAATTGACTAGTTCTTTGGGGAAAAACAACAACAACAAGGTAGATACACTTGTATCTAATTCAATCAAGAAGGGGTATACTTCAACTCCAAATAAAAAATATGTAGGAATAATCACAAATAAAAAGGAAATGAAAGGAATTCTATGAGACTGGTTTCCTTAATTCTCAATTCCATGCAAAAAGGCAAAAATATGAAAATCTAAATTAAATGAATAATTCTGGGGGAAAATATAATTTACCAAAACTGAATCTAGAGGAGTTAGAAACATTTTCAATATTTTCAAACAAAATATAAAAAATATTTTATAATATGCAAACTCCATTCTTGATAAAAGTTTAAAATAGGGATAGATGGATGCTTTTGTGATATAATAAAATATATGTTTCAACAGCAATGCTAGGATTAGGCTTAAGGGTGAAACAGTAGAATAAGTTGCACTAAAGTCAGGAATGACCACTATAATTTCTAACATTTAATATTGAACTGGATGCCCTAGTCTGATTATTAGATAAAAGGAAGAAATCAGACTTATAAATATTAGAAAGGAAGAGATTAAGTTACCAATATTTGTAGATAACTTCATTGGCTATCTGGACAATGCAAGAGAATTGGTAAAAATAAAAACAAACAAATAAACTCCAAATATTAAAAACAGTAAGGAAATTCAGTAATTTTTCTGGAACAAAATCAGTAGTGTCATTCAGTCAACAATCAGAAAATACTTGAGGAAGTCTCTATCTCCATGCCATGAAAACAATTAAATACTTAGCAACAAACTTTACATGATAGGTACAAGATCAACATGAAGAAAACTTTCAATCAATATTGAGGGACCCCCTAAAAAAGACATAACAGATAGAAAAAGCATATTGTATACTTAGATAATAAAATTTAACATCAACTATGTCACTTCTCACTAAGGTATAATCCATAAATTTAGTATTATTCAAATAAAAAATAGTATTTGAAACTAGACAAGATGATTCTCAAGTTCACTGAAAATATGTCAGAATAGTCAGAAAATAATAAGGGAAAACTAGAATTAATGGTGGGGGTGTTAATAATTCTACAAGATGTTAAAACATGTTACAAAAGTACAAGAACTAAAATGATGTAACTGTCACTCTATTAGACATTTCAATGAACAGGGCAGCAAATCCAGAAAAAAAAAAAATCTACCTGTACATTTATGTACATCTCACACAGTACATAGTATGTGATAAAAGCGGCATTTTGTATCAGAGGGGAAACACTATTTTTGAAGTATAAATGACACTGGAAACTTTGGGAAAAGTCAAATTTAGGCAGACTTCATTCTTTACATCAAAATGAATTCCTGATGTTTCATAGCTTGAAATGTTAAAAAAAAAAAAGCGGAAAAAATCATATCATGCTACAATAAGACCCCCACCATAAAACAAGTGATGTGTCAAAATTCAATTGTTTAACATGTGGGATTTATAGATATTTCTGTGAGTTTAATGAAGTGACCCAAACAGCAAAAAGCCTACAAAACCAGGAGGCCCAAACTTCTGTGATAACCAGCATGCTGTCTACACTCAGTCTTGGCTGTGGTTTGTCATCTTCTGATGGCGGTAGTTCATGTCTGCTTAAATATTGACAGGGAAGGGGCGCCTGGGTGGCTCAGTCCATTAAGCATCTGTCTTCAGCTCAGGTCATTATGCCAGAGTACTGGGATCGAGTCCTGCATCGGGCTCCTTGCTCGGCGGGGAGCCTGCTTCTCCCTCTGCCCGCTGCTCCCCCTGCTTTTGCACTTGCTCTTTTTCTCTCTCTCTGACAAATGAATAAATAAAATCTTTAAAAAAAATTGATGGGGAAGATTCTTGGTCTGTGGTTGGCGGCAGCAATCCCAGCATTTTGGAGAATAGTTGGCACCCATTTTGTCAGCTCCCTCTGAGGAGAGTAGGAGCAGAGAATACTTCTACAGGGTTGCCTGGTAAAATTTCCTTCCCAGCTTTGCCATCCACTTTGTCTTCAACCCACATCTCACTGAGAGTGAGAAATCTAGTCAATTCTTACTTGAAAATGGGGGCTAGGTAAGGATGGGAACCCACTGCTGACCACATTATATCTATGATAAGATTTTCACATAAACGATGTGGAACTTTACTACGAAAGAAATCATGGAAAAGCTTTCAAAATAGTTTTGGAGTGGGGAAGGAGGCCTTTCTAATATGACATAATACCAAAAGATACCCAAAAATATGTTGATAAGTTCGGGTAAGGTAGAACCCACTAAGTACAAAGTCTAAAGACAATAACAATTTAAAGAAAAAAAGTTTGGAACTGAAACAAAATTTTAATTTTTAAAATACATAAACAGTATCTAGGGGCGCCTGGGCGGCTCAGTCGCTTACATGTCCAACTTTTGATTTCAGTGTAGGTCATGATCTCGGGGTTTTGAGATCGAGCCCTATGTTGGGCTCCGAGCTAAGCAGGGAGTCTAGTTGGGATTCTCTCTCTCCCTCTCTCTATGCCCCTCCCCCCACCCCCCACTCTCAAACTCTCTCTCTTTCTCTCTCCCCTCCCAAATATATATATATTTAACACACACATACATGTATATATAAACAGTATCTAAAATAATTGAGAAGCCAACAACACCCTGACAGAAACATAGTCAAAGGATAAGAATACAAGGTTTACAGAAAACAAACAAAATGTTCAATATATGTGTGTGTAAAGACTCATTTATTATAAGTGAAATGAAAATTAAAATGACACTGAGATCTCATGTTTTACTTATCAAATTTTAAATATAAAATCTTTCATGATATACTCTGTGGGCATAAGGGGGGACCCCTTGTTGATGATGGGGGAACATCAGCTCTTGTGTTTTTTTTTTTTTTTAAGATTTTATTTATTTATTCATGAGAGACAGAGAGAGAGAGAGAGAGAGGCAGAGGGAGAAGCAGGCTCCCAAGGAGCAGGAAGCCCGATGCGGGACTCGATCCCAGGACCCTGAGATCGTGACCTGAGCCGAAGGCAGACGCTTAACCATCTGAGCCACCCAGGCACCCGCTCTTGTGTTTTTTAATACATTGTCACTGAGAATGTAAATTGTCAGGGCTTCTGTTGGCAAGATCTATAAAAATTATAAATGCACATATTCTTTGATCCAACAATTCCACTTCTGGGGCTCTATTTTACAAATACACTGTGTAAATAATTTATATACAAATTTATTAATTGAAGTGTTTTCTGTAATTGTAAAAGATTGAAATAACCTAAATGTCTTCTAATAGGGACTGGTTAAATAAATGATTGTAAATTCATACAATGGATTATCATGCAGCTGTGTAACAAGATGGGTAATCTATATAGTGGTAGGATTTCCAAGATATATAATTAATCATAAAATGCAGGGCTCAGAATGGAATGAATAATATATGCCCCGTTTTGATAAAACAAAAAGAAAATATGAATATATTTTATATTTATTTCTTATAACATATATCCACATGCATATTTTGTAAAGACATTTCATAATTATACTTAAAATATCCCAGTAAAGATATACAAGAAATGGGAGCCTTAGTGCCATCAGTCTGGGGAATGGATTTTTGAGGGTCAGGACTTTTCACTTATGTCTTTATGTTTTGAATTTTGACAGTATGAACCATAAAAAATTAGAGTATAAAAATGGTTGTATTAGGAACATAGCTTATAAACTATACATCCTAATTTAGCTTTTGTATTTAAAGAAGAAGAAAACAAGACCCAGGACAGTGGTAACAGATTTTCCAACTTTCTGGAGACAGAACCACAGCCAGATCCTGGATTTTCTGCCTCTTAGTTCAGGGCAAAGTCTACAACCCCAGAAGAAAGTAAACTTATATAACTGGATATTATAAAGAACCCAGGTAAGGAAACAAAACCCAAATTGATCGTATATTTTAACTTGAGATTATGCTCTATGTATGGTCTGGTACAAAATATTCTGAAAATGTTGCCATCTCTCATCCATGAGTATGTTCATTATTTCTCCATCTTTATGGCATGGTCTTGAATTGCTTTTCAACAGTGGGGACAGAAATTGAGACTTTATCTTTCTAATTCTCCTTTATGACCAAAATGTTATATTTGTGAGATAACCACGTAAGGTCAGAAAAGATTATCTGTGTCTGTGGAACAGAGATTTCCTCTGTGCCATTTGACACCATTTCCTTTAAGACTTGGATCCAAACTTGCCTGTTCAAACACATTAGCATTTCTTGTCTTTCCTGAATGATTTCCTCCATGATTGTGCCTTAATTCTATGTCACTTCAACTCTCAAGACTCTAATTGATGCAGTGTCCTTCCTTTCAACTAAACTGTACAAATATTTAATGAAGTTGCAACCATGTTCCAGGTACCATGTTTGGGGCTTGAGATAAAAAGGTGAATGATAAAATCTTCTCCCTTCAAGAAACTCAACTCAATCACTAGATAATCTTAATGATGTGATACGAGTGAGAGGGATTCCTGATTTTGTGAGCCACTAATAGACCTAGGGAAAGTAGAAGGAAAAAGTTGGAGGACATAGAGAATATACATCAACTTGCAGTTTTTGAAGAGCTTGTGGGACACATACCTGGATCTATCCAGAAGGTAAAGGAAAACACAACTCTGAAGCTGGAGCAAGAGTTTGGGATAAAAAAATAGAGATTTTGGATACATAACCTAATGAATGATAAGTTGGAGCCTAGGCCCTGGACTTGGCAGGAAAGGAGGTCCATGGAAGATGATAAGCAAAAGAGAAGAAAGTGTGAGCAGAATTTAGGAAATGGTCAGAGAAGGAAGAGGCAACAAAAGCTACTCATTCTTTTATGCCAAAGAGTTTAAAAATTCCTCTAAGACAGGAGCACCTGGGTGGATCAGCCAGTTGTGTATTCGACTCTTGATTTTGGCTTGGCTTGGGTCCTGATTGTGAGATTGAGATGTTGAGCTCCTCATGCAGAAGAGTCTGCTTGAGATTCTCTCTCTCCCTCTCCTCCGGCCCCTCCCCCCTGCATTCTCTCTCTCAAATAAATAAATCAATCTTTAAAAAAAATTCCTCTAAAAAAAAAAAAAAATTCCTCTAAGAACAGTGTCTTTACTTCTTTTGTACCCAAATTCCAATGCAGTAGTACAATGCATGCAACAGCTGTTTAATAATTGCTTGCTGAGTGGATGACCTAGTGTCATCTATAAGAACCTACCTTTGGTCTATTAGCAATATTTCTGAATTCTAGATGAAGGACTTAGAACCTAGTATCAAATACCACTATTATCGATATATCAAAGTAAACAGGAATATTAAGAACTGATCTTTAGGTTTTTTTTTTCAGTGTTAGAACTCAACCTAAAATCTAGTTATTTAAAAAAAAAAGAGAGAGAGACGGTTCAGACATAACCTACTCACATGCATTTTTATATGTTAACATTTCTATAGCTATTTTACTTTTTTTTTTTTTTGCCTAACATTTTGGGTTCTTTTTCTCACATTAGAACATTAGTCCTAATTATTTTTAAATATCTTAAAAACTCTTGGCTTTTGTATATGATACCATTTATATGGCTCTTGCCAACTATAACAACACTTTAAAAGTCATACCATAAATGGTTTGGTACCTTTCTAGGAAAAAGAGTCTTTGATTACAGTGACTCTTTTCACTACTTGTAGCTTATGCTAGAAGCCAGGCTAATTGAATGAAAGACAACTCTCTTCAATTGTAAGTTGTGTGATCATTGCCTCATCAGATCACATGGTAAACCAGGGTGAACAAAAGACCAAAATTCTGCATGGATTATTAATTAAGTGAAAAGTAGAAAACTAAAATCAGTTACAGGAAAGATCGGCTATGGTTACTCATGTGGCAGCTGGATGACCTTCAAACCAAGAAGACTATGCAGATGTGTCGAAAGAGATGGAAGAAGAAAAACATAATATTTGTTGGACCTGGTGGCATCTTACAGGATTCAGTCTCATAATTTCCTAAGTGACTCAGAGGCATTACACAATCAAAGCTTCGAGAAACCCAGTTCCTTAACACAACTCCAGAGTACTAAATGGTGCTTTGCTGACCTACGTTATTATAATTCTTCCCCAATTTCCCCAAATACCCTCCAGAATGGTGTGTTTACCTGCTAGAAAGACCAATTTTTATTTCATTCAAAATGTCTTAAGAGCCCTTACCACACACATTGATCTATTTAATTTTTTTCTGTAAGTCTAAATAACTACGAGTCAGAGCCATTAACCCTTCAGTATTTCCTGTGTTATTTTGAGCTTCTTCAAAAGATTTCTTTAGTCACGTGCTGAAAATAAATTTCAGCCAAATAACTATTCTTCATTCAGGAAGAGGATGAAAGTGTGGGGAACTTAAAAAAAAAAAGGGGGAAAAATTAAGCAAAGCTGTTGTAATCCCCAATGGCAAAAACTTCAATCCAGAAAAGTGGATTCCTTTTCAATTTACAGCATAAAAACAACCTTGAGAAAATAAACATCGTGGCTTACACAAGTTTCCATCCCTAAAAGTTGTTTTTCACTAAAAAAACCCAAACCACAAATATGTGTAAGATGTGACAGGGAACAGAGTTCTGATACTTGTTTGTTCTATGCAATTCATTGGTTTTTAATGTTTACTGCTACACAAATAATTTTATCAGGAGCTAGGAAAAAAGGCAGTTAATGACTTTACATTCACAATTGGAAGGTTAATGTTTCTTACTTCCAAGAATTTAGCACTAGGTAAATTCTTTGTCAGGGCTGATAATTAATAATTCACAGTAAAAAGGATAAATCATATTCTGTCATGAGTTTAGCTTTCCTGGGAAATACACATACTGACTAGCACTGAGTCTGTTTACTCATTTATCTTAGTTATGTTAATAAAATTTAGGATGTTGTCACTAGAAGCAAGTGTTTAGTTTGCTAACATTCCTTTAGGAAATATACTATGTTTAGACAGACTTTTAAAACAATCAGCATCCGGACCAAACATCTGATAAACTGTAAAGCAGGAATAGGTACTTTAATTTTAGATAGCATAATGATGACTTATTTCCTCTCAGCGCAGGTCTGTGGTTTCTTTATTCTAGGATCAGTGCTGAATGGGAAGGCATTGCAATTGGGCTTGAACAGACTGGGGAAAGATGTTCAATAATATGTTGAAGCTGAGTCAGACCCTCACTTAGTCTCCAGGCTTATGGTGCCCCAACTTTTTTCTAGTTAGGTTGCAATTGACTGAAGGAGTTAATTGCTTTTTTTGTATGCCAAAGGTATGCCTTGGGAATAACTGATTCTTACATTTAAGTCAGTTTAAAGAATCTGAGAAAGTTTGTGCATCTAGTAAGGTAGTATTTGGAGATATTTCTGAAATTTGTATTAGAAAAACATTTTCAAATACATTTATACACATTTCCGTTTCTCTTGTTCTCCTCCTAAATAAAGGTAGGGATTTCTACCACTGGATTTGAAAAAAATGAAGAACAATAAAATTAGATCATCACCCCTCCTTTTTTTTTTTTTTTCCTTCATTCTCTTCAGATCTCCACCAAAGGCTCAAAAAACAGCATGGATGTTAATTTATGACAAAACAGCCATTGTGTTTGTCCCCATCTTACGATTAAATGATTGTGTGAAAATTCTAGCCTCTATTGTTCCTTGATTGGGAAAGCCTTTGAAAATCAAAAAGGTTTTTATGAACTTCAAAAAGGTGTGATGGCCAATTGTTTGAACTCCTGTGAAGGAATTCTCCCACTTATTCAGAGAACACAGTGTTGTGATGTTAGAAACTGAAATGCTTTCCACACAGGATGTTAGTGCATGCACACATGTCTTCTGCTGTGATGTGGGAAGTACAATACCTCCAGGTCTGTAAGGATATCGGCTGTAAACAGGATGCTCACTAACAGTTATGGACACAGTGCCTCTTGCTGTGGAGAGAGAAAAGTTTTGAAGATCTTAGTGGCAACATTCTTCTGGAACACAGACAAAGAATACATTCAAATCCTTTACCAAATATTTCTTATATACTCTACATGTGTCCTAACCACAAAATCCTGTTTTAGGCAATAGACATTAATAAAATTGTAAAACAGCCTTCAAATATTCCAGGCATAGCACATATATAAGTTTTGTTTTTTGGGGATGCCTGGGTGGCTCAATCAGTTGTCTGCTTTTGGCTCAGGTCATGATCTCAGGGTCCTGGGATCCAGTCCCCACGTCTCCTTGCTCAGCAGGGAGCCTGCTTCTCCCTCTCCCTCTGCCCCTCCCCCCACCCACTCGGGCTCTTTCTCTGACAAATAAATAAATACAATCTTTTAAAAAAATAAGTTTTTCTTAAGAAGCACTTCATTTTATGATAAGTAAAAAATAAAACATAAAGAGAGGTTTGAGCTGGTTATTCCCCAGATCAAATATAGGGAGAGTTTATAATTCTATGCATTATATAAACAGCTTTTTGACTGATTTAAATGCAAAGTTAATCTGTACATTAATTTTATAGGAACTTTATAGTTATATTATGGCAGAATATAAGCATTTACTATTTAGTAGGGTTTATATTTCTGTCACCATTGAGCTTCTAACTGTTGACCTTTCCATCACTTTTGCAAAGCTACAAGTAAGCTACACATTAATAAATTGACTTTGGTTGGGACTTGCTGCCCGGGAAAGCCAAGGGAAGGCATTTTAGGCCATACACATATTCTCTATGAGTTGTCTTTATGAGATTCTTATTAGTAATTAGTAATCGATTGTAGTCTCTCTTAATTCTTTTATTTTTATTTTTTAAAAAGATTTGTTTGAGAAAGAGAGTGCACACAGGTGTTTGGGGAGGGGCGGAGGGAGAGAATCTCAAGCAGACTCCCCACTGATGGCAGAGTCCAGAGCAGGGCTGGATCTCACTACCCATGAGATCAGGACCTGAGCTAAAACCGAGAGTCTGACGCTTACCCGACTGAGCCATCCAGACAGCCTTCTCTTCATTCTTTTAAAGGCAGAAATAGCGTGATAAATCTAAGCAAGGTAGTAAGGAATCCAACCTTCCAAAGAAATGCTGTCCCCTATCCAATTCCCCAAATCATTAGTACTATCCTTAGGCACCCTCTTTCCCTCTCTGCATTTTACCACAGCAAACTTCCCTCAGCTCTGCCAAATTACACATACACCTCTCCTTGCCTCCTCGTGGTGAAACTGAAATCAGAAAGAAGACACAACTCCCAGCCCTATCTTACCTACATCTCCAGTCATATTTTCAATGGATTTCCCCTCATCTGTCCTCTTGGTCAGTCTTCTTTCTGCTTTTCATTCTTGCTCCATATATCAGCTGCTCATTTAAATGCATCCTCAACTTGTATTCAAGATTCTCAAATCTGAAAAGAAAAATACAGTTAACAGCCACTTCTATTTTCCATACTCCATTCAACTGACTCCCTCTTTTGCTTTCAATAGTCAAACTTCTCAAGTCACATTATTGTTTCTACTTCCTTACTGCCCATTCACCATTCAGTATACTGAAATTTGACTTCAGGACTTATATCTGCTCTTTACCTTTGTTCAGCTCCCACTGAGGTCATCAGTAAAGTACTAATAGTTAAAATCAGCATTTTTTTCCCCAGGCTGGGTGTTATTAGCCTTTTATAAGTCTTTGAAACTGCTCATCACTCTTTCCTTAAAACTTTTAAATCCTCCGGTTTGGATGACAACTGAGTTTTGGCTCTCCTCCTCCCTTAACTTTGATTACTTTTCAATCTTTTTATGGACTCCCCTTTCTCCAGCATTTTTAAATACTGGAAAACATCAGGTATCTGTCCTGTGGTCTTCTCATTTTTCATATTCTTCCTGGATGATCTGAACTACCAACTGTATGTGGACAACTCTTGTTGAGGGCTGACCTGAACACAACACTTAGGTTCTTTTTTGGTAGATAACAGTAGCCACAGAAAAAAATTTGGGGAGGAGGGAAGCTAGCTACACTTCACTATCACCACCAAGTAATAATGAAAGCAAGTCTCAGAGCAAATTCTGCTGCATATATGACATTTATTATCTAATATTTATTAGAAAGTAATCACAAAAGAAACAATTGTGTTTAATCTCTTCTGCAAACCTGAGAAGATACCAAGATTCTGTTCACCTCTATTATCAGCTTCTGACAATCTGAGTCCTCCCAAGTTCATGGCTGACACTCACCAATGGCATCACTAAGAGTGCAGGCTACTGGCTCTGCTGGTTTCTTATTCTCTGTTTATGAATGCATAGGGATAGGTAGGACGTACTTCTAAAGTATTTTATCTGATCCACATATTATTAATACTTTTACTTTCACCGAAAGCACATTTCATTGAAAAATTTAAAAGTCACTCATTTCACCAATACAAACTCATTTCTGACAATTGCTATGCTAATAAACAAAGCATTGGTTTTGGATAGAGATCCAGATGGCCGAAATGAGTGTACTCACAGGAGTTGCCTCTGGAGTATGGGGTTCTTTCTCCCCCCAGCTTTATTTAGCTATGATTTGCAAATAAAATTACATATATTTAAAGTGTACAAGATGATAATTTGATATACATTGTGAAATGACTACTGCAATCAAGTTAATTAACACATCCATTATCTTACATAGTTATCATAGTTATTGTCTTGTGTGTATGTGGTGAGAACACTTAAGATCTATTCTCTTAACAATTTCCAAGCGTACAATACGGTGTTATTAATCATAGTTACCATGCTGTACATTAGATCCTCAGAACTTATTCCTCTTATAGCTGAAAGTTTGTACTATTTAACCAACATCTCCCCATTTCCCCCAGGCCCCAAATCCTGGCAACCACCATTCTACTCTTCGTTTCTGTAAGTTTGACTTTTTAAGGTTTGACATATAAATGAGATCATACATCATTTTTCTCTCTCTGGCTTCTTTCCCTTCACATGTTGGAGTTCTTGGGTAGAGGATCAGCTGTTCCTCTTGGACTATGCATGCTTGATTAGAGATGAGCAGAACCTGGCTTATCGTGTGGCCTAAGTATCTGACATAGACTATCATGCTGTATGTGTGGAAGTGTTTCACGGTCAGTTATAGACATCACAGCAACTCCAGCCTCAGGTCTTTACAGTCATCTCCAACCTAGGCTCATATGCAAATGATTATACCAAAAACAAAACTTGCCCAAACCGAATGCATATTTACTCCTTCTCGAATCCCAGAATGTTCCTCCTTTAAGCTTTGTACTCCTTTGTGTTAGTCTATGATCAGTTACCCCTTTTCCCAGACTCTTGCACACGTGTAATCACTCAACAATTCCTGTCAGTGTTGGAGCCAAATTCTTCAAATCCCAGCTCTATCATTTGCTCTCTATGTGACCCTGTGCAAGTTTCCTAACCTCTCTGAACCTCAAATTCCCTTCTTTTTTAAAGCAGGAATGATAACATCTGTTTCACAGCTTTAGCATGAGGGTGAAATAAGAAGTCACATGCCCCGTGTAAGGCTTGAAACATGATAAAGACTGAATAAATTTTAGTTTCCTTCCTTTGCCCTTTTTCTCACACTGTCATCATCCTCTGGCGCCTTTAAACTAATTCTTAATAATTCATTTCATAAATAGTCACATATCCCCTCTGTACAAGCTTCTGGCGGCCACAACTGTGACAAGATAGACATCGTCCTCTAATGGAGGTACATTTTAACGGAGAAAACTGAGGTGGAAAAAGTAAACAAACAAATAATGATTACAAGGTAAATGGTGATAAGGATTATGAAGGAAATACATAGGAAGCTGAAACAGAACAGGAGCTGGGGATGAAGGCACAGCTCTATGTCAGGGCTACTTGCACTGTGATCTGTAGAATGGGGCAGTCTACAAATTGCTCATTCCCTGTCTGCGACAAGAAGTACAGACATTCAGATGCGTAGAAACTTTTCTAGCAATTTGATGTTCAGATGTGTAGAAACTTTTCTAGCAATTTCTAGCATTTGTATAAAGCTGCAATAGTCATGTGGATGAGTAATGGTCTCTAAACAAAGACCATCACACTCATGTCATAAGTGGTGTGAGGTCTGTGGAAGTTCTATGTACAATGAAACTAAGTTATAGTTTGTGATATTTTAAGGTAAATTTGTCAACTGCAACTCAAATATGTATAAGATCTAGAAGCCATTTCTTTCATTGAAAAGTATTTTAAATTTAACTGTATAGGAACAATAATTGGAACTGGTTACTAATGAAGGAATAATTATGAATTTTAAAACTACAATGTTCTTTCCTTCATTTTGGATTAATTAAATATGAAGATTTTTGCATGTGCTAAATGGCTATTTTCATTCCCATCAGCGTATCCCTGAGATGTTGTTGTCTCTACTATGAATATAATTAAAACAAGACATTGAAGCAGTTTAAATATATATGTTGTCTTCTGTCCATCAATCAGATTAAATAAATTAACAAGCAAAAAACAAGCTCACTTCCCATGTTAAAAACTTTAAATATTGATACATACTATTTTTAAAGTATGCAAATAGGCTTTTATTTTCAGGAGTCACTATTTCACTAATAATTCTTTTAAGTCATACTTATAAATCAATAAAAAGTTATGAGTATAG